ATTTCACTGAGCAGTGGTTTGTAGTTCTCCTTGAAGAGGTCCTTTACATCCCTTGTAAGTTGGATTCCTAGGTATTTTATTCTCTTTGAAGCTATTGTGAATGGGAATTCATTCTACAGTTGTCTTTTAAATCAGATAGAAGAAGAAAAGAGTTATAAACAAAAAAAATGCACTTACACTTTTATAATTACACACACAGCTACCTTTAACAGTGCCCTTTATTTCTTCAAGTAGATTTGAGTTACCGTCTAGTATCCGTTCACTTTCACCTGAAGGACTCCCATTAGTATTTTTTTTGTAGAGCAGATCTATTAGTGTCAAATTGTCAGTTTTTGTTTATTTGGAATGTCTTAGTTTTGCCTTCATTTTTGAAGGATAGCTTTGTCAGATATAGGATTCTTGGTTGACAGTCTTTTCCTTTCAGCACTTTGAATGTGTCCATCCCTCTGCCTTCTGGCATCCATAGATTCTGATGAGAATTCAGCTATAAATTTTATTGAGTATTCCTTGTACATCTCTTCTCTCTTCTCTCTTGCTGCTTTCAAAATTGTCTGTCTTTAGTTGGTTTTCAACAGTTTATGATATTTCTAGGTGTGAATCTCTCTGTTTATCCTACTTGGAGTTTAGGTTTTTAAAAATTGTATGTTATTTCTCTCCCCAAATTTCCAAATATCAGCAAGTCAGGATGACTACTCCCAAGTATATCCTAAATCCTTCCACTATTTTTTCTGTCTCCCCTGCTACTTCCCTAGTCCAAGCCATCATGACCTCTTACCACGACTAGTATAGTAACCTCCTCACGAGTCTCTCTACTTCCCTTTACAATGCTCTACAGTTTATTCTTCATCCACCAGGAAGAGTAGTGGGCTAACAATATTAATCACATTATCACATTCATCTGCTTAAAACGTCCAGACTTCCCATTTCACTGAGATCTCAACACAGGTTCTTTGTGATCTGACCCTACAATCTCTTCATCCCATCCACCCCTCCCCTCTCCAGTGAATGCAGCCACCCCGGCTATTTCTTCTCTTGAACATCCAAGCTCAGCTCTACCTTAGGCTTTCACACTTCCTGTTCTCTCTGTCTGTGGGTTCCGCCCACGATTGGTTCCCTCTCTTCAATTAGGTCCCAGCTTAAATGTGACCCCAGAAAGTAGTTCCCCAGTTACTCCCTATCACATCACCAGCATTTTTCTTGTTTATATATTTGCCTTCTATCTACACTTCCCACTGAAATTAATCTCCATTTAAAAGCAGAACTTTGCTATGTTGCTCACCATTGCATCTTGAGTGCCTGGAATAGTTGCTGACACAAAGTAGGTGCCCCAAATATTTGTTGATAGAATAAATTATAACATCTGTGCTCAAAAGGAAGTCATCTTTTCTTTCTGAGAGCTTCTGTATAAGGAGAGCTGATGTCAAAGCCCCCAGAGGCTGGGCAGGATCTTGGTCTGCCTTTCCTATTGGTGGAGACGTGGTCCCAGGCTGCCTTTGATTTAGCTGCATTTTATTACTTTTCAATTCATTAATCATTGATCATTTGGCTACAGTTTCCATGACAACCCTTAACCAACCTGAATATTCCATCATCCAGGACAATCTCTACCCCACCCTTCTTGGAGAACCCAGTTTGCTATCAGTATTTTTCCAGCCTTGCACAAAGGATAAGAGTTTTGAGGCCGAGCGTGGTGGCTCACGCCTGTAATCCCAGCACTTTGGGAGTCCAAGGCGGGCGGATCACGAGGTCAGAAGATCGAGATCATCCCGGCTAACATAGTGAAACCCAGTTGCTACTAAAAATACAAAAAATTAGCTGGGCATGGCAGCGGGTGCCTGTAGTCCCAGCTACTCGGGAGGCTGAGGCAGGAGAATGGCATGAACCTGGGAGGCAAGGTTGCAGTGAGCCGAGGTCACACCACTGTACTCCAGCCTGGGCAACAGAGAGAGACTCCGTCTCAAAAAAAAAAAAAAAGTCTTGAGTGGGGGAAACTGAGGCCACAGGTCTCCTTCACATGAGAGGATCAAGGCATAAGGAACTTGCTGGATTGCATAAATGATTCTTGTTTCTGCTTGTATGTCAGGAGGACCAAACTGCCAACAGGAGGACTGGTGTGCAGCTACGATATGGAGAGGTGGTTCTCATCTTCGGGTCAGATCAGCAAGGAACATTTTGATCCCATGTTGTGGGCTCAGAGCTCTTCCAGTTGCAGGGAGGAAGTTATCTGGTTCAGCAGGGTTTCCAAAGCCCTGATGCAAAGCGATGCTCTTGGGGGAGGCTGCGCCTGGGAAGCGAGTTGGGCCGGCTCAGCGCCTGGCATGCATATGAAATGAGGAAACCCCTCAGCACCTTTCAGGGGGAGATCTGAGTAGCTGGTGTTTCCAGCATGAAGGGGATTAAAAAAAAAATGCTCTCCACCTGGTCTCAGCACTTTTGAGTTTCAAAGGTCCCTGAGCGGGATATCTGGCCTCATTTCATGCTCTACCCAACACCAGTGGTTTTCAGTTCTTGCCAAGTTGTATTTCACAACATCAAAAATAGACTGCAGGAACCTCCATGACCTCCCGGTCTTGGTTTTAGAGGTTACGGCTTCCATTTCAGCCTTGGTATCAAGTACATCTGGCGCACGGTGTCAGTTGGCTCCAAGATTAGGCTCTGCTCCACGATTATAATAGAAATTGACATTGCTACTTGGAAAAAGGACAAACTAAGTTACATTCTGCAGCTATCAAGACAGAGTAAAGCTACAAAAGTGGAAAGAGGTGGTGGTGGTGGGGGGGGAATCTAATGCTTGTGGAGGGTGAAAGACCGTCAACACACCTGCCAGGGCCAGGTGGCCACAGAGAGGCCGATCTGGGAGGACACAATGGCACTGGGCGCCTTGGAGCGAGCAGTGGAAGGGACAGAGCCCTCGGAGCCACGGGCCAGCTTTGAGCCCAGCTCCATCCTCTACCGGCTGCATGATCCCAAAATAGCTTTAATTGTTGTGTATTCACCTGTAAAATGGGATTCGCTCATTCAGGGAGGATTCAATGAGATGATGTCTAAAGAACACCTACACAGAGTAGACGCTAAGCAGGTACCACACCTGGAAGGCGGCTGCAGTTCTTCTAGCTAAGCTGGCTCTCCTGATTGAAAAGACAGGGGTGGGCTGGGGACAAGAAGCCCGGGCACAGCCTGCCAGGCACCCGCAGCATGAGCCAGGCATTGAAACAGGAAGGATGGACGGCCGGACCACACCCTCCTCTAACCATCCTCAGCGTCCCCAAACCCACCAGATGCAGGCTCCGGCAAACCAGAGCCATCATCCTTCTGCCAGAAGTTGCAAAGCCCTACCCCTTCCCACCTTCGCCCTTAGAACATGAGGAAGACAAACACAGAAGCATCTTTCAGTGCACTTTAATCGAAATTCCGTCATCAGAAGAGTTCTCGTAGCATACAATGTCAGGATGGGCATGTCGACTTGGTCCTACAAATGGAATATCCACAGATTTGCACTTCAAACATGTTATGAAAAATAAAATATATAATATTTAGCTTTATAAATTTCCCCACTTTGTCACTTTATCTTTAAAATAAATGACTACTCCTGTCCAATACAGTGAGTAGCTTGGAGTCACTCAGCCAGTCTCCAGGCAAATGATCTCTGTTTTCTTGAGGAGTTCTGTAGGGAAATAGTTGATGAAGACAGTCCACTGCTTACAGGAATCAACATGAATTTAAAACAAGCACACTCTTCACAGTGGGCGGAACATCAGAAAATGGGAGCCTTCTTCTAATGGCTGTTCTTTTCTGTCGGGGAAAAAAAACAAAAAACAAATCCTCCGAACCACACCGGATGGTTGTAAAAAGCTGCAATGGAACCTTTGGCACCAGATGAGAAGAGAGACCTTTTAATGCCATAGCTAGTGATGATTCAGTCAAAGCATCCGTCTAAGGAAGAGATGATGAGGGAAGGGGCCGGAGATCACAGCCCTTCTCCTTTCTGAGCCCCGCCCCCCCATGCCCCCTTTCCGGAGACACAGACAGCCCCTCTGCTTTGGGGAGGGCAGGGCTTTGTCTGGGCAGGCTGGGCGTTCTTCAGATGGGAAGATTCACAATGTACGGAACACAAAGGGAGAGGCCCTTTTGCAGATCGGGGGGCAGCCGCTTGCCGCGAGTTTAGTCACCAACGAGGATGCACTCAATGCACAAGGGACACAGCCACTCCAGCGGGATGGCTGCACAGCCGTGAAAGGGGACAGACAGAAGGGGTGCACGGGACACCAAGGAACTGGAGGGCGACAGGGCTCAGGCTGCGATAGCTTTACATGGGCTCTGAAGAGGGGCTGCTGGAACTGCCTCCACTTGTAGCAGGAGGGCAGAGATCCGCCCACTTGTGGCTTGGGGCATCTTCCCAGGGGACCCCGGCACTACTTCAAACAGCAACAGAATCTTGGTAGGGAACAAATCAGCCAGTGACAGACACTGCCCTAGCCCTGGTCTTAGAGATTCCTGGGGAATGAGCTCTGGCGACCCTGAGCCCCGACTGGCAAGAGTTTAAGTGGGGGAGTCAATGGCCCTGAACTTCCATGGCAACAGCCTGATCCCGGCCTCCTGGACAGAGCAGAAGGCGGCTACAAGTCAAGGAGACGCTCCTCGCACGTCTCCACGGGCCACTTGGAGGCCCCCCCGAAGACATCGACGTTATTGTCCACCCACGGGATGATGTTGCCCGGCATGTTTGTGGAGCAGTTGGCGATGTTGACAATTTCTTGTGCGCGAAGGACGCGGTCCCATATGTTGAACTGGCTGAGCTCCCCGACAAACGCCTGAGTGGCATCAAACCTACCCCCCACGGTGTCCTGGGGAATGGGAACAAGAGAGCTGCATCAGGGCCGGCTCACAAGTCCCCCTGCACACGGGGTACAGACAGGAGATTTGGGCATTTCTCTGATGCCCCCCCAGCTCTGACCAACACTACCTGTTTCTGCAGGTTCTGAAGCTCCCAGGCCTGTCAGAACTGGGAGGTGGCATTGCTCAAATCTCCCCATTTTACACAGGGGAAACTGAGGCTGGTAAGGGGAGATACTGCTCAGAGTCCCAAAGCCAGGATCACAGCCAGGTCTCATGACTCCCAGTCCCTCCCAGAGGAGATGTAGCAGGGGAAATTGAGGGAGGAGTGGGCCAAGGAGGAACCAGACTCAAAGCCCCCCAGTGCACCTGGCATCTACTCCCCACTGTCCATCATCAAAAACCCACACACAGACTGAAATGCCAACACTTATCTGTTCTAGACCAGACAGCCAGCTCAGCCATTCCCTCCCCTAGATGGTAAGTTTCTTGAGGGCGCTTTGAGGTGCCACCCTTTCCTCCCTGTCTCCCCCATGGGCTGAGCACCCAGCATGGATTACCTAAGTGCCCCTTGCTGGGTATCAGGGTGGAGACCCTGAGCAGGTACTCCTGGAAGACACCAGCCCCACAATCCTGAGTCAGTCTCACGAGCACTCCAGGAGACTCCCTCACTCAGCCTCCTCCCAGACAGAAGCTGGAGCCTGTGTCACGAGGTGACCCATGACCACAGGGACACTCACACCCCTCTGTGCTAGGTTCTATTTGGAATCTGTTTGAACTACACCCACCTGGTCCCTGCCATGCAGGCCATGTCCCCACACCCAAACTCTGACCACAGGACAGCAAGGGCCAGGCTGCTGGGGTTCTCGCTCCCCCGACCTGGCTGTCAGGACACTGTGGCCAGGTCTGTGGGGCCAACAGCTGGGGCCAGAAGCGGGAACAGCTGCAGGCCTGGCCTCGTGCTGCTCAGTTAGCCCCTCCTTGCACCATTCCTGGAAGGGTGCACGGCCACCCTGCACCCACCTGCGCCCACCTGCACCCACCCTGCGCCTACCTGTGTCCACCCGCACCCACCTTGCACCCACCTGCACCTGCTCTGCACCTGCCCTGTGCCCACCTGCACCCACCTGCTCTTGCCCAAGGATCAGCACTCCCCCAGGCTTGATGGGGTGCCAGGGAGCCAGGTTCTCCCCAGTGCCCAGCTTCTCTCCATCCTGGAACGCCTCCCACATGCCATCCCGTGTCGTCCAGGTGACACAGATGTGGTGCCACTTGCCATCACTGACAAACAGGGGCAGCTGCGCAACCTGCGGGCAGCAATGTGCAGGTAAGGACCTGCTGGGCCCATGCCCTCGGGGTTCGCCAGGGCAGGAAACAGGAAGGACACCCCGCAATCCCCTTGGGCCACACTGCTCCTCCTGTCACCTGGGGTCATACGTGGAGAACATGAAAGGGGGCAGCCTCGGTGGAAACCCTGACCCCAGAGCGGCCCTCACATTAATGGGATACCCTTGGTGCCTGGCGTGGCTGACAGCCGAGCAGATGTGAGGGTCAACACCCCCACGCTGGCCCCGAGCTCTCCATGCCAGAGAACCTCGGGAAGTCAGGGCTCCACTGGGCCAGTCTCCTTGGAAAACAGACCAGAGATCCTCATTTCTCATGCCAAGTCCCAAACCTCCATGGTGGCATGCAGAGATCTGTCTGTGTGCTGGGGGTGTCCCCTGTCCTCCCTGCATAGTGGCACGTGTGAGTATCTGTGTGAGCAGGGAGCTCACAGACAGCACGAGGAACTGGGGGGAGGACGCTGCCACCGGCCGGATCCCTGGCGGTCCTGCAAGCACTTTCCATGCGGGCTCGCCTGTGAACCAGCCTGTGAACCACCGCGTTGTTGCCGCTGGTCTCCTAGCAACCTGAAGCCTCCCTCCCAGGAATTCGATGTTTACAAGCAGTCCAAACCCAGAGGATAACAAGGCTCTCAGCCCCACTATGTCCTAGGGTGTTACTTAGAACAATTAACTCCTGGTTTAGGCAAGGGGGTCTATCTAGGAGGAGCCCAGCAGGCTGATGCCACAGCATTTCTTAAACTTCGACAAACTCCACCCAGGGCAGTTCAGTGAAGACAAACAGAGTGAGGGACTGAACTGTCCCCACCTCCACCAGGGGTGGTCCGGGTGGCAGGGAGTTTGCATAGTCACTCAAATGCCCAAATCAGGCCAAGTTCTGAGAATCCTCTTTTTGTTATATGAAGTCTGCCATTAGAATGAAAGTTTGGAAGTAGGGCTGTGAGAGGTCCCCAGGAGGCCCAAAGTGGACTTTTTTTATTTTTTAAGAGACAGGGTATCACTCTGTCACCTAGGCTGGAGTACAGTGGTGCGATCATAGTTCATTGCAGCCTCGACATCCTGGGCTCAAACTCATCCTTCTGCCGCAGCCGCCCGAGTAGCTGGAACTACAGGTGCACACCATCACACCTAGCTAACTTTTTAATTTTTTGTAGAGAAGGGGTCTTGCTACGTTGCCCAGGCTGCTCTCGAACTCCTGGGCTCAAGCGATTCTCCTGCCTCGGCCTCCCAACGCACTGGGATTACAGGCATGAGCTCTCATACCCGGCTCTTGGAGCAGATCTCTTGAGAAGACCGCTCCTGAATGCCAAAACCAAGCAGTCTATTAAGAAGGGGCATTTGCTTTGCAAAGGCGATACTAAGGGTATATATAACAGGTCAGCAGTGGCCATGGGCTGGGGCTGGGATCAGAGCTAACTATGAAGGGGTATAAGGGGGTTTTGGGGGGCAATGGAACTGTTTTATATTTTTTCATAGTGGTGGTGGTTACACAACTGTGTGCCTTTGTTAAAACTTCCTGAATTGTACATTAAAATGGGTACATTTCCTGTAATCCCAGCACTTTGGGAGGTCGAGATGGGCGGATCACAAGGTCAGGAGATAGAGACCATCCTGGCTAACACGGTGAAACCCCGTCTCTACTAAAAAATACAAAAAACTAGCCGGGCGAGGTGGCGGGCGCCTGTAGTCCCAGCTACTCGGGAGGCTGAGGCAGGAGAATGGCGGGAACTCGGGGGGCGGAGGTTGCAGTGAGCTGAGATCGGGTCACTGCACTCCAGCCTGGGTGACAGAGCAAGACTCCGTCTCAAAAAAAAAAAAAAAAAAATGGGTACATTTTGCTGTATATAAATCATATCTCAAGAAACCTGATCCCCACCAAAATATGCTAGTGAGGAATGTCTTACACTGAGACACACATGCCCCCTTAATCAGTGTGGACCTGGGGAACAGCCCTCACTGACCGGCCTGAGGTCCTCTCTCAATCCAGGCCGCACACGGAGACCTGCTCCTTCTGCCCTTCCACAGCCTAGGTGCCTGGACCTTCTGCCGCTTCGTGGTTGGACTCACAGCTCAGACCCCCACAAGCTGCAGCTGCCCCTCCCTGCCCCGCTCCTGCGAGCCACCCAGCGTGTACAAAGCTATCCCCACCTCCAGGAGGACAGCCCCGCAGTCCCACGTCTGGGCCCGTTCGGTGTGGCGAGGACGGCCGGGGTGGGGACTGTGGCTCCCTCTGCCGCGTGATGGGTTCCGGGGAGGGTGGCGGTGCAGGTGGGCCTCACCTTGTCATTGATGAGCAGCTCGATGGGGTTGTTACCCCACTCGATCAGCACGATCTCGTTGGCCTGCCCCGGCACCGCGTAGGAGAAGGGGGTGCCAATGCCCGGCGAGGCGCTGGACCGCAGCCACAGGCAGATGGTGAAGGCGTACAGCTCGGGCAGCGTCTTCTTGATCTTGCCGTATAGGTAGTTGGTGCGGAGCGGGAGGGACACCTTGAACGCATCTGGCGACTTAAAGGCGCTGTTGCCTGGGGGTGGGGAGGAAGAGAGGCCAGCAGCGCGTTAGGCCACCCACTCCCCCCACCCACTGGCACTGCCCAGAGCCACATCTTGCTAGATCCTCAAGAAGGTCCCTCACACAGCCTTGCTGGACCCTCCAGCAAGTGACCAAAGACCGCTCCATGCCAGCCACTGATAAAAGGCTGAAGTCCAGCAGGATTCAGGACATGAGAAGGAGTCCTTGTCCTTAGGGAGCTTACATTCGGGCGGGGAAGGTGACATGAAACCAGCAGCAGGTATACGAGGGAAGGCCAGGCGGGGGCTCCGGCTAAGACGGGGAGTGGCCGGGGGAGGGAAGGCAGAGGATGCAGGGAAGGCCTGGAAAGACCTGCAGAAGAGAACCCCAGACCCCAGGGACGCCCAGGAAAGGGAGGAAAAGGAAGATTTGGTAGGCACTGCGTGGGGCACGTTAGAGAATTTAGCTCCATCTTCTAGGACAGGAAAAGAGGCCTCTTGAAATCTAGAAGAAAAAATGTTCTTGGATGGGTGTGGTGGCTCACACCTATATAATACCAGCATTTTGGGAGGCCGAGCAGGAGGATCGCTTGTGGCCAAGAGTTCGAGACCAGCCTATGCAACATAGCAAGACCCCGTCTCTACAAAAAATTAAAAAATTAGCCAAGTGCAGTGGCTCATGCCTATAATCCCAGTGCTTTGGGAGGCTGAGGTGGGAGGACTGCTTGAGCCCAGGAGTTCAAGAACAGCCTGGGCAACACAGCAAGACCTCATCTCTACAAAAAATATAAAAATTAGCTGGGCAGAGTGGCACACACCTGTGGTTCCACCTACTCAGGAGGCTGAGGTAGGGATCACTTGAGCCCAGGAGGTCCAGGCTGCAGTGAGCTATGATTGCATCACTGCACTCCCGCCTGGGTGACAGAGGCTCTGTCTCAAAAAAAGAAAAGAAAAGAAAAGAAAAAGCTCTGGTTCCTTCTAGTTAATACTCTCTTTTCACAAGTCATATTAGATGACTAGAAAGCTTGAGGAAGGAGCAGAGGAAAGGTAGATTTAATTTTCTTGTGTTAAGCCAGAAACTGCTTCCTTAGCCACATCTTATCACTTCAGATATTTGCTTGAAATCTTGGCAGGATCTAGGAACTCTGGACTTGGGCTTAGAAGAAGGAAGTCTTACAGGGATCCAGGAACCCAATAAACACTTGTCGAGTGAGTGAGTCTGTGTCACTCCTCACAGGAAAGAATTACCACTGCCGAGGCGAAGGAGTCAGACTTCCGGGTCTTGACTCCACAACTTAACTCAGAAGTGGCTTTTTGCTCTAAATCCCTGACGAAAAGCACTTTGCTCTTTTCCTCCTCAGGAGAAGATTGAGTTTATTGATCATTTCCTGTCGTCTGGGGCCAGTGGGAGGCAGGGGAACCAAACCGCAGGGTGTCTGTCCTCATTTAGGGGGACACACCTGGCCAGAGCCTTGGCCCTTCCAGACCTTCCTGGAATTGGTGAGAATCCACCGGCCACCCCTATGTCATTGGCGCTTCTAAAATCCTTGAAAACAAATTCTAGAATGGGTTTACATAATTTCCAATACAGCCTTGGTTGAAGTTCAAAATTAAGTAAACCACAGCAGCAGCCCTTATCCAGGTATCACAGATCCCAAAGTTTGTAGGACACCGTTTGATTGTGCCAGCTGTCATGGCAAAGGCTGCCCTCTTATTTGAGAACCAGACCCTGCCGTTGAAGGAATCTAAACGCCCTTCACTCATTCAACAAGTGTTGGTTAAGCATCCACAAGGGCTCAGACAGTCTCTGAGGCCATCAGAGACAGGCGGGCTCTCTGAAGCCAGAACTGCCTGTGTCACTGTGGAGTTAAATCAGTCCCTTCTGCAGAACATGAGCCAGAATAAACTTTTCTCCACCACAATCCCCCAAACTCATTTTCCCTCAGAGTGAATAATACACATGAAAGGCTCTCAGGGGCCACAGTTCACATCTATCTAAGGAGGGTTTCTGCAAAGGAGCACAGCAGAACCCACTATCCCCTTTCTAACTTCTCTGGAACAGGCAGTGTGTACATTCTAGAATCTGGGCTTCACATGTTGCGTGTACTCACATCTGCCAGTGGTGGTCTCCTGATTGCTCCTGACCTCCTAAGGATGGGCACCTCTCGATGCCACTGCGGAGCTGCTGGGCACCTGGTGAGGGCTGGGAAGATCTGCTCACGCAGGAAGCCAAGGGGCCAGGCCAGAGTGAAAGCTGGGACTAGTCCCTCATTAGGCTGAAAAGCAAAACTGAGAGAGAGAACCAGAATGTTCCTACTCTCCCATTTTTGCAGGTTGCATAGTTGAGGCTCGGAGGCTCGGTGAAGTGAGGTGACGTATCCAAGGTCACACAGCTAGTGAATGACAGGCCAGGGGCCACAAGTCCCTCTTTCCAAGACACGTAGGCACTCGCACTTAATCTTCAAGTGGCAAATGACCATGTCCTTAATGAAGGCATCATTGTCTAATAAAGAGAAATGGCTGCTATACTTGCGGGAGGGCAGCCTTGCCAATCTGATACAACTGTGTGGGTAATACTGTCAGCTTGGTGACAACAGATAGGTTTAATTAGGGCTGGGAGAGCCGAGGGGCAGAGGAGGGGGCCTGTACCCTGAGAGTCAGTGCCTTTTATTTAAATGAAACAGCTTGGTGGTTTGGAGGAAACTTGGTTAAAACCAATTAAGGAATTAAAAAGCCTGACCAATAAATCAAACACTGCAGGTGGCGGAAAGGTTCAGCAGGGGGTGGGCAGCCTGGGGCTGGAAGAGATGCAGCTTTGGTTTTCTCAGCAGCAACATTTATTTCAACACTGAGCCAGGCGGTGCCTGGACAGCTGGCCTGGACTCTGGAGGCCCTTGCAGAGGAGCAGGTCTTGCAGCACAGAAAAGCAAGCAACCCTGGGCCCCAGGCGGCAGGGGCGTCCATATGCCAGGGGTCAGGTGTTTGCTGGGGGCTCCAAGGAGCCTCGATCCAGCAGGGCGGAGGCCCACACACCGCTCCAGGCTGCAGCCTCCATTACTCCTCTGTGGGCTCCACCCACTTCACTCCCAGCTCTGCAATCTGCTGGCGATGTGAACGCAGGCATCACTTCAGCTCTCTGACTTGAGTCCCTCATCTGAACTAATACCTACCTTGCAGGGTCGTGGCAGGGGTTACAAAATGCCAAGTGTGCAACTCACAGCTGAGCATCTGGTCCCCAAGGGGTGGAGGCTGATGGACCAAAGGTCAGAGTCTCCCCACCAAGGCCCCCTGCCTGTCATGAGGTTGAGGTCTAGCTACTCGGGATTCAGCTGGATGCGTCTAAGAAACTTGGCATCGTTTCCAATCATAGTACATTTGGGGGGCTGGGCGTTTACACATCTCTCTACAATTGTCACAAACAGGACAAATATAAACTCAGAATTGCCCAGAAGATAAACTGGTCTGCAGATGATCACTTTCCTTAAAGCACATCCCAGAGCTGAGTTGGTGGAGCTTACAGAAGGATTCTAGATTTCCCATGGCAGGGTGAAGAGAGACTGAGCTGCCTCTCTGGGGTGCATAAATGGCCAGCAGGGTTTTTGCCCTCGTAGAAGTGAGCTTCCCCTCTGTGCCAGACGAGCTCTGAGGGCTTTCTGGGAAACTAAAGGATCAACAGTCAGGCTGGCGGGGTCTGAGTCCAGACTCTTTCTTTCTGGCTGGTAACGGACAGGCTGGGGACGAAAGGGACAGTCACGAAGTGGCAGCTTCTGGGTGGCCAAAGCCGTGATGATTGCTTACCTTAGGAGTAAGCCCAGTGAAATGACATCGGCCTTGAGTCAGAGAAAGAGAAGGGGGAGGTGCAGGTTGATGTGACTGTCACTGTTTACCAGCTAGTGGCCCAGGCCCCACTTTGGGCCCCTCTCCCCAAAAGATACATGTCCCGCTGAGAACGGATTGTTTTTCTCATCTATGAAACGGGTATACCAGGAGTCTGAGCTCCCGCCTGGCATGACTGAGGCTCTGGCTCAGGATTCTGCTGTTAACCCACCTCCTTGTGGCAACTTGGCCACTGTGTAGAGGGAGATTTACAGCCATCAAAGTCTCTCACAGAGCCCTCCTCCCGTTCCACAGCTCCCCTTTCGAGAGACAAACTACCTTTAGTGTACCAGGTCCATAGCCCTGGCCGTCCTGAGGATCCACTGTGGCTCAGGCAGGGTCCACGGAGTCACGCTCACCTGTGCCTAGATGCTCCCTCCTCCTGTCATGGGAGGAGGGTCACAGCGGCGACTGCTTTACCTTCAGGGATGGCTCCTGAGGTCACCCAGCAACAGCGGGGAGACAGAGAGGAAGATGTTTTGGAAACTCAAGAATCTAACAGGTAAGCCATACTCACCTTTTTCTGAGAAGGGCAAGGAAGAAAAGATGGGTTTTTCTGGAGGACGAGACTGGGAAAGGGATGAAAGAGACCTGTGGCTTGTGGATGCTGGCTGTAAAATGGAACAGTAACACCAGCCCCTTCTCCATCTGCCCCACCACGGTCAAAGTCATTGGATGTTCTGCTATTGGCCATCCTCCTATCAGTGGATGGAACGGAGTCACGGGGAAGTGGCTTCATCAGGTTAGTGCATCTGGGAAAACGCCAGTCCTATAAACACCCACTACGGGCAAACCTACAACTTCACAGCCAAGCCACCCAGTGGTTTGGGGGTTGATGATGCAATCTGAATTATCCCCGATCCCTCCCTCTCTGTCTCCTGTGGGAGAAACTTACTCACCACAGTGTGAGCAGAGAAGAGAAAGATATGCAGAATCTGCTGCCAGGACTAGTTAAGAAGGGACTGAAATGCCCCTGTGGTTGCTTATCGAAGTTGGTCCCGGGCACATTCGCTTTTCCCTGGATAATGCCACTGGGGCTGGGGGCTGGCAGCTCATTCCTGAGATGACCATGCTCAGTCACCTTTATTATTTGCTTACACACCCAGGAACCAGGCCCATGTGATGTCACAATCCCTGCTGTCTGTCAACTGGAATCACATGTCTGACCACAAGTGGTGAAAATCAGGCCACTCCCAGACAGAGAAACAGGCCAGGCACACACCTCGCTCCAGCTCGGTGACCCTCTGCAGCAGCGCGTTCAGGGTGCTCTCGGTCTTCTGCCGGTGAGCAGACGTCTCATTGTGCAGCAGGGACTTCTCGTCCTCCAGCTCTGCCACCTTGCGCAGAAGCTGCCTCTCCAGCTCCCCCAGCCGCCGCTGGAGCACCTCGCGGAAGTCGCCGGGCAGCCCAGCATTGGACATGTTTGCTCTGAGCTGGTGCTTTCAGCCACCGGGGAGAAGGGAGGAGCACAGAAACAGTTAAAAAGAAATTGTGAAATGTGGCTGTGATGGCCCGACCACATAGGGAGAAGCTTCCAAAACTAAGAACTGAATTGTGCCACTGGCAGGCAGGGGAGCATCTCACTGATGCTTTTTTGGTATGGAAAAGATTTCAAAGTCAGAAAAGAATTACTTTGCTGCAATATTTGAAACTTGTGAATCTCATTTTCCCTTCTCAAAAAGCCGTTTTTCTCCTCTTACTAAAAAGTCAACATTCTAACCAACACCTATAATTCTATGTTGGGTAGAGACCAAAACGCAGTTCTAGGATTTTTTTCCTTTTTTAAGAGTAAATCGATGGTTACACAAAGCCAAGGAGCTTTCACCTACAAATGAAAACAGCCCCCAAGTTCCGGTCTGGCACGAAGGTAAATAACTATGCATGCAGAGATGTTTCTGGAAAATGACAGATCTAAAACGTTGCTATTCTGAACTCCAGCAATCTTTGTTTTTAATGCTGTTTCTAAATCCTCACTTCCTATTTCTTTTTCTCCTCTACCATCATGTGGTTCTGGAGGCTGTGGCAGGCTGCCTGCCCATAAGTTCATGGCAAGCTACTTACCCTTCTCCACAAAGTGTTCCAAATTGTGAAATGCACATAATGGGATCTGCCTCGTGCCATTCATTGTTCCAAGGATTAAAAAATTAAATAATGTGCCTGACTCTTATTTAGTGCTCCAGAAATGTTAGTTGTTAGCAATCACAATGAATCAGGGGATATACAGATGCTGGAAATACTGTATTCAGCTCTCACACCAAAAGAAACCCTTGAGTCAGTTTTGCAATAATTACCACCTGTAATTTAAACCTAGTTTTGCTGAGAAGTATTTTCACAAAGGCTATTAGCAGCAATGTCCACACTTCTTAAAAAGGGTGGAGCCTAAAGATTAAAAATAATTGAAGATTCTTCTCTCAAAGTTCCAAACTGCACGCATCTTCCCTCCGTGGCGGGAGAGAGAGAGAAGGGAATAAGGTCCCCTCCCCTGAAGGGACCAATCCGGAAGAGCACCTTAATGTGACCCAACTCGTAGGCAGGGGAGTCTTTGAAGTTAACCAGAGGTTACCTCTAATGCGCGCTCTGGGGTCTCCGGTGACCCCCTGCGCTCGCCTCCCTGCAACCCCCACCCCCAGACTTCCCTCTAGTCCAGCCTGACCTGATTTATAGAAAGAAACACCAGACGCCCAGGGCAGGTGACCTCTCGCGGCAGCCTCGCAGCAACCCGCACGGCCTGCGGCAGCGCATCCCGGCTCGCAGAGATTTGGACATTTGCAAGAGAATAGAGGCTACCGCGTCCCCGGGTATTTGGCGCCCGCGGCTTGGCCGTCTGGGTTCGCCAGCCCGGACCTCGGGAAGTGCTCCGCGGATCCCGCCGGCAGTCCCGGCGCGCGGGGGTGGAATTTAAACGTTTCCTTCCAGCAAGAGCAGCGGTGCGGGAAGGGATACCACGCAGCGGAGTTCCCGAGCTGGATCTAGACCCCGGCCTTTCACTCTCAAGTCCAGCTCACCCTACGGACGATCACACCCTCCCCAGGGCCAGGCCCGCTTTCCCCATCCTCCCGAGTCTTCCGACCCCGACTCGGGAGCGTCCCCATTCCAGGTCCCCCGCACTCCCCGCGGGCCGCTACCTCGAGGCTCTCCAGGCGGTCCTTGAGGGTCTGCAGCGAGCGGCTGAGCTGCTCCACGACGTGGCCGGGGTCCCGCGGCA